TATAAATTAAATTAAAAAATAAAATAAAATAATAAATTTATCAGAGGACAAGTGTGCTGTAAATAACTTTAGTGATCACTACAGTTTTAACACAACATTCTTTTTATTCTGCTTAAAAGGATAGAGAAGACAGGAGATTTTAGCCTTCTTGGATCAAATCACTGGCACGAGAAGTTTAGTCTCCTGCCTCATCTTTTGAACCCAGAAGCGGCTCCTTAATTTCTTGTGTACAAAGAAGGATATCTAGACAGAATAAAGAGCAAGCACAAAAATGTGGGACAGGGAGAACCTGCCACAAAACTGAATTTCATCTAAGACTGGCCAATTCAGCTATTCTGCTGGCTAACACCTAGGGGAAAAGGGCTGTAAGGAGATACACAAGACTCTTAGTGCAAGGGGTTTTTTGCTTTAAATATACTTCATACAGCGGAATATTTTTACTTCAAAACCAACCAGACCTGCACAGCAAAGGAACTCCATAGTTAGTTTTGCAGGAGTTGTTGAAGATTCTATTCAAAAATTTGTGTCAGAACTTCCTGAGTTTTCCTTCTCTCTTGGTTGTGGGAATAGGGCAAGTACTAAAAAAGCAATTTCTGGGAGCTGTTAAAGGTTGTCCATGAGACATCCAAACAGAAAGCTGGGCTGGTAGGGGTTTACTCTCTTCTTTGTTGGGTTCTTCAGCATGGAAGACTGCCCCATCAGCTTTTCATAGTCTAGTCCAGAAGAGGGCACAAAGGGAACTTGCTAGCATCCCAGCTGGCACAATGCTGGTCCTCAAACTGGCTGTGCCATCACTGTTGCACAAGTCAGAGTAACAGCAGGAGACAGGACGTGTCATGCCAAGTCCATCCACATCAGATGGGACACAGACAGAAGAGCACATCTTGGTGACAGTTGAGATTCCCATGAAGGGGTAAACTACAACAGAGAAAGAAGGAACAGTTAGGAATGGGAGGAATGAAGGAGAATTCTCCTTGTCCCTAGTGAAACATTAGCTGCCTTCACCACCAAAGTCTTAGCCCCAACTCAAACACAATTAGTCTACTTCCTAGCAGGAATACAGGAAATGGTTCCCACTGAGTGGCTGCAAGCTGAACAGCACCTTCATCTTCTGTGCTCTGCCTGGACCAGCTTTACCCTGCAAAAGGTCAATTAGGCACTTTTTCTGTCTCTGCTTTGACTCTACTCACTGTCTCCTGCCTCTCCCATGTGCGACCAGAGCATTATCAGCAGGACCATTGAAAAGAGAGATCCTCCACCTTTAACAGTGCAATTCTTTATTTGGACAGCTTATGACCAGTCAGACTGACAATGACTATCTGAGAGCTCCAGAGAACTCAAGGGTATTTCCATTTCACCTCCAGATGACCAGAAGTTGGTAGCCCCACCTTACTGAACTTGGCTTATCTCTACTGGCCTCTCTACTCCAAGCAGCTTCCATAGACAGTTCTCAGGTCAGGAGAGCACTGTTTAACCCACACCCATCATGGGAGTCATGCAGATGGTCTTAGAGAGCCAGAACTCTTAAGCTCCGTGTCTCAAGTTCAAGTCAACTTGTTTTTTCTGACCATGCTCAACACTGAGTATTAACGACAAGCTTGCACTCGTTAAGTATTCACTCACATGAAGAATGCTTTCCACAACAGCAGGAAGCCTCCTGCTTTACACCTCACAGTAGCTCTCCTCCAAGCTTACATATTTAAGTGAGAAAACGTACTGCTCCCCACACTGTAGAAACACATTAAAAACATGGATAAAGAAGTAATTGCCCTTACCATCCTCCAGGGAATACATAGTAGTCTTGCACATGGTTTCATTCCTCGTGCAGTTCTGGATAGTCAGGCACTTATCAACAGCGGTAGGTTCATGGCAAGAGTAACATTGCAAGGTTTGCACTGCAAGGAGGAAAAAGCATGAAGTTGGCCCTGGTGTAGACCACGAGATTCTCTCCGTGTCCCTCCAAGGACCTCTGGGGAGGGGTATCTCTCCAAAATACTCATATTATAAGAGCAGGAATAAAAAGGTATTTGTGCTAAAGAGAAATACAGTAGTCTGGTGGTCAAAGCATAGCCTCAGATGTGGGCTCATACCACTTGTAACCCGTCAAGCAAGACAGACACACACACACAGAGAAGACCCCGTGATACAGTGAAGTCCTATCAACACCAAGCTGCTCAACATATGGGGCACAAAGATGGTCCTTCTGCTCTTGCTTTGTTACTGGGGTTTTGGTAGGTTGGCTTTTATTTTTTTTTGGTAGATATATCTTAAGTAGTCCACAAGACAGTTTAAGGGTAATTTTACTTAATTTTTAGATCTGCACCCCAGAAACATGCAGTAAATGTGGGCTGAAAGTGCTGGGATATCCCAACCCCAACAAAAATTATGAGGGTGATTAAAAAAAAAAAAAGCTGGAGCAAATTCATTAAAATAGTGAAGAGGAGCTGCTGCGCCCACCAGCTTCTGCCTTATCACTGTGGGGGTTAATTGGGTTGCCTAAGACAGGACTCACTATTCCATGCCATAGCTGGATGTCAGCAGACAGACTTCACAAGATGAGACAACTCAGTCCTTGAATTCTTTGAAGATATTGACCCAGGTGACAGCACTCAGCTAAGACTTTCGGGTACCCAGGAGAAGTAAAATACTTCAACTGTGCAGTTAAGCAAGATGTTTTTTATTTTAATCTTTATCACAATTAGGCAATAGGCCCTGCTTCACATGTTTATGGCAAGTATCTAACTGTTCTGCTTTGCCAGTCAACCATGTCCCTGAGTTCCCTTAATCTGTCTAATTTCCACAGAAAAGTAAACACACTTCCAGCTGGTCTACCTCAACTCTGTTCTTACCTCAACTTTTCTCCTTGCCTTTGCATTAATAGAGCATCCAAAAGAGATCCCAGACTCACAGGCTTACAAACTCACAGAATCACAGAATGGTTGAGGTTGGAAGGGACCTCTGGAGTTCATCGAGTCACAGAATCACAGCATATTAGGAGTTGGGAAGGATCTCAAAAGCTCATCCAGTCCAACCCCTCTGCCAGAGCAGGATCATCCAGACCAGGTCACACAGGTACATATCCAGGCAGGTCTTGAATGTCTCCAGAGGAGACTCCACAACCTCTCTGGGCAGCCTGGTCCAGTGCTCTGTCACCTTCACAGTGAAAAGGTTTTTCCTTATGTTCAAGTTGAACCTCCTATGCTCCAGCTTGCTCCCATTGCCACTTGTCCTGTCATTGGACATCAGGGAGAAGAGCCTGACTCCTTCCTCCTGACACTCGCCCTTTACAAATTTATAGTCCAATATCCCTGCTCAAGCAAGACCACCTAAAATCAGATAGGGTTTTAATATCTCCAAGGATGGAGACTCCCTAACTTCCCTGGGCAACCTGTGCCAGTGGTCAGCCACCCTCACAGTAATAAAATGTTTCCTGATATGCAGAGGGACCCTCCTGTGTTTCACTTTCTGCCCATTGCTTCTGGTCCTGTCACTGGGCATCACTAAAAAGATCCTGGTTCTGCCCTCTTTACATTCTACCTTAGGTATTTATAGACATTAATATGATCCCCCCAACTTAAGCCTTCTTTTCTCCAGGCTGAACAGTTAACAGCTCTCTCAGCTTTTCCCCAGAGGAGAGAAACTCATCCTTGCACCCCTCCACAAGACTCTTTCCAGTATATCCATGTCTCTCTTGTACTGAGAAGTCCAGATCTGGACACAGGACTCCATGTGTGGCCTCTTTTCAGGGCACTTTGCTCTCTGCAGGTCGTTCTGAAGAACACAACACTTGGTCTAGGTCTTCTGTTCCACAACCTGAATGTGTGCGCCTTACAGGCATAGAAATGCATTTTGGTACCATTACAGACCAACAGCCCCAACTTTGTCTGGAGAGCCATTTTCACCCCACCTGTGTCACAGCCCTTCTGAAATCCCTTTAAACTACATTGAAAAAGAAAAAATTTCAGCTCATCTCAGCACATGTCAAATGGGATGTCATAACAGCAGGCTCTGGCGAGCAAGCCACCTTATGAAAACAGATGCTGCTACTTCACCCTAACCAGTAAGTCAGAAAGAGCCCTTTTATAAACAGATACGGCAATTATCTTACTTTTATTCAAAACAAACTGTTTCACCCTTTGTGGACTGATATTTTGTTTGCATTAATTCTATTTCTGACAGCTGTCAAATAGATCTTTAGAGAGGCAGCTTTGTCATTATTCTCTGATTTCATGATGTTCATCACTGCATAAGTCAAAGCCACTGGATTTGTGTTCCTCTTTGAAAAAAAGCAAACAAAAGATAAGTACAAAGGGACATGAAATTAAGAGAGTGTTGTCCTCAAGATGTGTAAACCCAGTATTTTCATTAACCTCACTAAGACTAACAGGTTGAAACATGGCTAAATATATTAAATAGTAGCTATAGGTACATCTTTTTTTTGTTAAGATGGAAGAGATAGCAGATCAAGAAGTGTTTAACACAGTAAAATAACCAAAAGCTCTAATGAAACAACTTTATTTTTGCAAATGAGATGACTCTTCAGCAACAAGAGTCAGCTGGCATCTCACAGAGCAGGAGGGAAACACCATGACTGGGAGACTTAAAGACCTGTGGTCTAAAAGGCCTCTTTTAAGCAAGCTTTGTAATGTCTATCTGACTTATTTGTGAAGGGTAGATATTTGTGACAATAACATAATTGTAGTTGTCCCTTTTTGTTTTAAGAGACTATGAATTCACACATAGACAAGTAGATATGTAGTAGATTAAAAATGAAATTACATTATAAAAAGGAATAGATGCATAATAAAAGTCTTATATAAAAGAAGAGGTAAATATAAAATGCTAAAATATTAATTCAGTGTAGTTATAGTAGTTTCTTTTTAGAGTGCTGAAAGCAAAAGAAGAGATTAAAAAAGCAGAAAATCTTGGAATTTCTAGCTTCACTTGGCTATTGGCAGATCTTCCATCCTTCAGCTCTTACTGTCTTTCCAGGAAATGCCAAAATTGCACAGATTCCACTCATACCCAGAAAAAAAGCTTGGGGGAAAATCATGGTTTTATCCCAGCTTTGCAGACGATAGAGTGTGTAGAAGAAATTTGCCAAGGTTTGCCCAACAAATCAAAGCATTCATCCCGACTTCGCACACTTGAATGGGACAGAGAAGTGGGGAAGGCCATGAAGGGGGAAATGTGGCAGAACTAGGTCACAGCAGGGGCTTCTGCTCCCCAGCTGCCCACCTCTTGACAAAGTCTCATTAAACAGGATGGCAAAATTAGTTTGATGAGTCAATTGTAGACCAAATTTGTGTCTCACCCCCCCTCTTTCCTGCTACATTCTCACTTTCAGATTCTTGTCCATCCCTTAAGGAGATCTTGCCATAGAGTCCCCTTCTTTCCAAAATGTCCTCTATTAATTAATGATGTTCCTCCCTGAACTGCTGTCTCTCCGTTGACAAGCAGACACGAATCCTCAGAATGAAAAGGGTGTAATTATTAAAGGAAATATCTTCTGCTCTGCAGACCTGTTATGATTGATCTCTGCTGTAGCAGCTGTGGTGAGCACATGAAGCTCCCATTGATCTTGAAACAGCACAAGCACCTCAAGGCTTTGAATTACCAGTGACTAGAGCCAGGACACATGTCTTAGACATAACAGGACATTTAGTGCATTACATGAAGGAGAGGGCTACTGTTCCAGCTCTGGGTCTGCCTCTGCACACAGTAGCTGTGTTCTCCCGAAAAATGTTCCAAAATCTCCTTCTTTCTCCTCCAGCTTGTCCCTCACTTGCAGAATCCACTCTGCAGATCCAAAGATGGAGGATTTCCATCCATCTTATATGTCTTTACATAAGAAGGAAATAAATGCAAAATAAAAAAAATCCTAGCATACTTCTAGGTCCCAGCCAGGTACAGATGAAATCAGATCATACAGTGCCTGGATCTGGAAGAGCTGTGCAGAGCATGTGGATATCCCAATTAATAATCACAGCTCCTGCACTGACCCTTTGTAGGACTTACCTTGGCCATCCAGGCTAACACCAACTCTGAGCTTGGGATCGTCAGCATAAAATAAGTTTTTGTTCAAGAAGTTATTCTGGTGGCAGCATTAAGGGATGGGGAGTGCATGTCAGGATGTCCTTTCCACTATGCAGTCACCTTCCACCATTAGAGGTTATGGCATCACCACTCATGTAGGACTGTCTGCAATGACGGCATTCCCTACTTCCTAGGGGATGAAAACACTCATATTGCAAACACCCCTCCGTGTTTGGCTTTGTGGAGTTGGTGATGGAGGAGAAGCAACTGAATCCCACTGATGGAAACAGAGGGGTCAGTTTTTCATGGCGTCTCTGTACAGACTGGACTTACGGGGCCTGTTCCCTACCTCCACAACCCAGATGGGTCACCCCCAATATCAGGCTACTGTTGGCTGCCCACCTTGGCCATGTGCTTCAAGCTTATCACCTCCAGCAAGGTGGCAGATAGCCTAATGGGGACAGAAAGAAGGGAGGGAGGATGGTGGGTTCACCCCCCGTGGTGACTCTCAGATCCTCCTGCAAATGGGGAAAAATCCCCAAAACACTTCACATTTGTTTGTTTTCCAAGGTGGCCTGTCAAAATTGTCTTTGACTTCATGCAAACCCCCATGTGTCACTAGAAAGAGCTGAAAACCTCAGCTCTGCAGTACCTGGGCCACCAGCTTAGTGTTCCAGCCCTTCTTTCCCATTTCTAGTGGCTGAAGTTTAATAAACCACACCTACAACTTACAATTAGAGAGTGCCGCTACACACACTGCATTAAACTGGCTAGTTGGCTTCAGGGTTAAATATAAAAAAAGTAACAGAAATATTAAGAAGAAATTAAAAGAAACAAACAAAGAAACAAAAAAAAACCAAACCAGAAAATGAGAGTCAGATTGAACATGAACAGTAAAAAAGAAAAGCTGGAAACTGAATTAAAGAAATGGCACTATATAATCACACTTTGTCTTGTAACACTTCCTAAAGACCCTGAACTAACAATCCCGATGAGACTATGAAGATCCTGAACATCTGACAGTTTGGAAATGTTCCAAAGACAGATGTTCTTTTCCTGAAAATTGCTTGAAGTGGGGAGGCATGGACTTCAGAAGGAACAGGACGCACCCCATCTCATTATGCTGCATTTCCTGCAGGAGCTTAGAGAAGTCAGAATAGGAACTTACCGAACTCCATGCAAGCAATGGCAACCAACAGAAGAGACAGAAACACCTTCATCTTGCACGGACCCTGGTCACCTCGTCACTGGGCTGCCACCGCTTTTCACTGCCAGCTTTAATGGGACAACTGCTGGTGGCTTGCCATGTACTGATTCTGACCCGAGATCCAATTCTACTGGAAAAACGAGTCTGATTGAGCTATAAATTAATTGAATGAGCTACAAAGCACGCCCCACCTCCTGCCATACTGTCATCTCTTTTCATGTTCCTTGGAGAAAAAAATGAGGATTTGCATGATGGACACAATAGCTGAGGTTGTTTAAACTGGGTGCTTTGTTTCCAGGCATGACGTGTAGAACCAGGGGTATTAAATAACCCCAGCATCCATGCCTTGCCTTGCAGGTTGTTGATATTTCTTCTTTTTTTGTAGTGGTTAGAGATTGATTTTCAGGAACCTCGGGGGAAAAAAAGTGAAGCTGTGAAGAGCAAGGCATTAAACTCTATGTACTTTTCCATGTTTTTACCCTCAACAGGGGTCAGAGTTTCTCATCAGGAGAAGCCAAAAGTTGACTTGCAATCCCTTACTCACTGTAAATAGCATGGTTGTCATTTTGGAATTGCAAAACCTTTCCCCAGATTGTGAGCAGGGTTTCATGGGACCGTGGTGGTGTGAGCAGCCACAGATTCCTCTCTCCTCTTCCTGTCCTCTACAAGAACAGGTGGTGGGAGCACTGGGAAGACTACAGGACCAGACCATGAAAGTCTGGGCTAAGGGAGTCTCTCAGGCTCGCTATCCCAAGCCATTCAGGAAGGATGGCAGCCAGTCACAAGTGGTGTTCCCCAGGGTTCAGGTTTGGGGCCAGTTCTGTTTAAAATCTCTATCAATGATCTGGATGAGGGGATTGAGTGCTCCCTCAGCAAGTTTGCAGATGACACTGAGTTGGGAGGGAGTGTTGATCTGCCTGAGGGTAGGAAGGTTCTGCAGAGGGACCTGAATAGGCTGAATCAATGGGCTGAGGCCAATTGGATGAGCTTCAACAAGGACAAGTGCCAGGTCCTGCACTTTGGACACAATAACCCCACACAGTGCTACAGGATTGGGGACGAGTGGCTGGAGCTGCCAGTCAGAAAAGGACCTGGGGGTGTTGGTGGACAGCAGGATGACCATGAGCCAGCAATGTGCCCTTGTGGCCAAGAAGGCCAATGGCATCCTGGGATGTGTTAGAAGGGGTGTGGATAGTAGGTCAAGAGAGGTTCTCCTTCCTCTCTACTCTGCCCTGGTGAGACCACATCTGGAATATCTTGTTCAGTTCTGGGCCCCTCAGTTCAAGAAGGACAGGGAATTGCTTGAAAGAGTCCAGCGCAGGGCCACAAGGAGGATCAAGGGAGTGGAGCATCTCCCTTATGAGGAGCGGCTGAGGGAGCTGGGGCTCTTTGGCTTGGAGCAGAGGAGACTGAGGGGGGACCTCATTAATGGTTATAAATTTGGAAAGGGCGAGTGTCAGGAGGAAGGAGCCAGGCTCTGCTCTGGGATGTCCAATGATAGGACAAGGGGCAATTGGGTGCAAGCTGGAGCATAGGAGGCTCCATGTGAACATGAGGAAAAACATTTTTACTGTAAGGGTGCCAGAGCACTGGCCCAGGCTGCCCAGAGAGGTTGTGGAGTCTCCTTCTCTGCAGACATTCAAAACCCGCCTGGTCGTGTTCCTGTGTGACCCGGTCTGGGTGATCCTGCTCTGGCAGGGGGGTTGGACTGGATGAGCTTTCGAGGTCCCTTCCAACTCCTAATATGCTGTGCTTCTGTGATGGTGTCTGGAGAAGCCCCTCTGCAATAAGCCAACCTTCTCCAAGTGTGGTAGCAATCCCAATAATTCTTTGCTTGCTAAACACCTTGGCTTTCCCACCCCCAAACCCTGCTGCCCCAGGCATCTGCCTGCTTTTCCTATGCCTCAGGCCAGCCCTATGCCAGCAAATCCTCCTAAAACGTGTAATGAGCAAGTGGGATGACAGTGTGATTGACAAGTGATGACAGTGGGATTGCCAAAACTGGTAAGGAAGAGCTCCTCTGCCCCTTAATACACACTTTTAATAAGGAAAGAAAGGAGGGAAAGTTGAAACAAAGACGTACTTTTGATACCTATCACACCATCGGAGGAACTTTATTCAGGGTTAGTATTCCTGGAATTCTTGAAAAGTTAAAAGCCAATGTCTTCTCTTATTCCCAGAGAAATGACCCAGTCCTCATTTCTCCAAAGCGAAATTTCCAGTGACAGTCTCACCATTTTAGCAAGCCCTGCCTCACTTTTATAAACAATACTTCTGGGTGATCTACACCCTCAGGAATTCAGATCCACTGTTTTCATGTCCATTATTCAGTCATTACATTGTCTATGAAGGTTTAGCAGTTATTTCCAGCCCAAAATTATCTAGGGAA